ATGAATAAATTTACCATGAAGACAATAAATATATTAGTCAAGTTTAGAGTTGTAACCAAATAAAATGGTGATCAACGCATGGTACGTGTGTTTAAAGATTCAGTTCAGTTCAACATTTACTGAATACTGCCACTGTGTGAGGGTTGAGGATACAAAGCTGTAAAGACAGGACTCAGCCTTTGAGAAATTTACAATCTGAGTGTTAAGAAAGAATGAAAAGGAGTAACCCAGTTTCTATAGGCCTAGATCATAGAGTTGAGAGGCAGAAATAATGAGCGATTGAGGTACTTGGGGAATGTCTGGCTCTCTAGGGACTGGTTTTGTGGGAATATGTAAAGAACAAGGCAATGCATAGCAGCAACTCAGAGAAGTTTGAAGCCTAATCAAACAAACACATTTATGAATATACCAACTGAAGAGGAAATGGTGCTGGCTATGGCTAGAGGGATAACTAATCACCAAGCAGGGAAGTGAAGCAATTTGGCTTCATGGGAGATGAAACCCAAGACCTTGGCNAAAAAAAAAAAAAAAAAAAAAGAAATGTTATTTGTTGCATAGCTGGTTCCCTCATTTCACTTACCCTTGCCCCACAACCTTAACATTGGATTTAAATATTTTCTTTGTAAACTAAATCTTCAATCTTTTCAAAATCTGTTAATATAAACATTTGTGTGTTTATATATATCAAAATGTATTTATTCCAAATTAATTTATTATTTTTATTCATTCATTTATTTATTCACTGAATATTTATTAAGTGCTCATTCTGATGGATAGATATGCATACAAAATCTGGAAGTACAAATAATGAAATGAGGAATTTTCTTGAATTGTCTGCTTTTTGTAAAAGATGGATTTTTTTTTCTTTATCTACATATGTGAAAATGTATTTCATGTAGGTAGAGGGACTTTATCATCGTCAGAACAGTGGGGACTTTCAGTGGTCACCTTATAATGCTTTTCCATGACATTGTGAACCAACCATTGTAAAATTATTTGTAGACATACAAGCTTCATGAATAAATTTACCATGAAGACAATAAATATATTAGTCAAGTTTAGAGTTGTAACCAAATAAAATGGTGATCAACGCATGGTACATGTGTTTAAAGATTCAGTTCAGTTCAACATTTACTGAATCCTGCCACTGTGTGAGGGTTGAGGATACAAAGCTGTAAAGACAGGACTCAGCCTTTGAGAAA